GTAGATGTTTACCTCAACATTCTAAATTTCAATCTTGCAAATTCTCAGAGAACAGGTTAGCAGATTTTTCGATACATACAGAGACACGTAACATCATAGCTACCGATGCTTCCGTCAGTGAGGAGAGGGAGGCGTAAGAATATTCTCCCAATCCCTTGGCTGACAATTTGCCGTGAGGCTACCTGATTTCACTCCGGTTTTTGAAGCGGAGCTTATGGCAGTCGTCTTGGCACTGAGAAAAGTGCCGATGGATAAGAACAGGGTAGTAATAGCTATTGATTCGCTCTTAGTATGCGCAGCTCTTACAGCTTCTGATACTCTTGCGATCACGACATTATGACCTTCAGTTCCGTCTTAGGTGTACCTGTAATTAGTATGAAACCTAGCTCACTGTGGATTAACACAAATAAAATGACCGACGCCTTAGCCTGCTCATCGCTAGATCTCCCAATAGTTCAGGTTCTCCCAATCGTAAAATACTTCACCGCATTCAGGTATGCGATAACTATTCACACAGATAAGATGAAGACAATAATCATGTCGACAGAATATAATCACGTAAGCTATCCATGGAAGACACAGCGGAGCAAATCTCGGCAATCAGAAGTGTCGATCACCAGATTTTGATATTGTTTCCCCCCAATAAACTTTTACTTGTACAGAGCTGGTCTGACGATGCCACTCCTCGGCCAATTCTGTGGAGATTTGGGAAATATTGCACACTACTTTTTTGTATTGTTCAAGATATTCTCATAATAAAGCTTCACTTTTATTTTACTCCTCATGCAAAAATAGGCTTGAGCTTATCGTGGGAAATTGTTTAGGTTCGTTGCCTCAAGCTTGGAATATTACCACAGGGATGCCTCTCATGCCGTGTGTAATTTCATTATAGCTACTCAATGAGGATTGTTTACTCTGGTATTTATATATTCATTTCAATTGGTTAAAAGCAAACTAAGTTTTCCTAATTGTTCCCTGCAGGGTCATATGGAAGTCTGAAATACTAGCTGTAAAACATAAAACTTGTATTTAAACTGAATATTTCAAGTAATATTGCAAATTGCCTGCTTTATTTTTGGTTTTTAATTACATATCTTACCTGAAATATCATTCATCAGTTTTAACGTCACACTCTTGACCAATCCCCTAAAGTGGGTGCGTGCCATTTATCGAAGTAAACAAACTTTTCCTGCGATCGAAAAAAGTGTATTCATTTGTGGTCTTTTGCATGCAAGTCGATTCCTCTTCGTCAAACTGGTGGAGCTGCTGGGTGGTCTTCATGCTTGGCACGCCTTCGCGGAACAAACAATCGAGCCCAGGAATCGCTACCACGCATCAACACATTGGTGCACTGTTTCAGTCACCGTCTGCTACGCCTGGCGCCCGAGCTCAATCCACAGCGAGAAATTGCCAGCAATCAGTTGCCTCTGTCAGCCAGCATGGCCACTGCAGCTACATCCCACATGACACTTCATAATCCTATATTTGTGACTGTTTTCATGGTGAGGCTCATAAAGACGCCAAAGGCTGCCTGGGTCAGTTCGAACGCTGTGTGAAGTACAACCATTGGGCCACCCCAAAGGACAAGATTTCGAACGTCTACTTCCGCCTGAAAAACAACTCCCAGACGTGGTACATGAGCAGAGAAAAAACTTGGCTACGTGGGATGACTTCAGCAACCAGCTGCTAGACATCCCGACACCTCGACAGGCAGGAGAATGTGCAACGTCTCTTGGAAGCTCGAATTCAAAAACCAGACGAGAGCGTTGCTGTGTTTGCCGAAGGCATGACCTGTCGTTTCAGCAGCGCAGATCCTAAGATTCCGGAAGACATGCAGCTACGGTATCTCATGCGAGACGTGAAGGAGTAACTGTATGCAGGGTTTGTGAGGAATCCACCAACCACAGGAGCTAAGTTCACGAAAGAAGGCACAGCGATTGAACGGGTCCTACCACGACGGTAACACCAGCGAAACCTGGTCACCTTTGTAGCGAGTAGTCTAGCCGCGGCTACGAAAGCCTCTGCGACAACTACAGGCCTCTCCTAGAAGTCATCCGGGAGATTCTAAGGAAGGAGCTTTAGCAGTTTGGAATAATTCTAGCAACTGAACCGACGCTGGCATTGTCTATTATCGCCGATGTTGTCCGGGATGAATTCCGTCAGGCTTTCTCTTCATCCGGCTAAGCTGATGTGTGATGACATCTTACTTACGCCGATGCAGTCGGACACCTTGTCCTCGCACGTTCGGAACAATTAGTGGACCATCACCAACCCAGCTCTCAGCGCCAGCGACATTGCTAACCTCGCTTATCTCGCCGACGAGACTGCCGTATGGCCATCTTGTGAACCTCACAACGTGGTTCAGCAGTAAATACCCGCTGGCCTTCCGGCGTCGGGAAACCGTTTTGTGGCATTACCAACAGTTTTTTGCCCGTTTTGTGCGTATCCTATTGCCATATACACAGCTCACTAGGGAAGATATCCCCTTCAAGTGGAGCGAAAACAAGGAGCAGGAGTTTCACGAGCTTTGCCCGCGCATGCAAACAACCTATCACTCTTGCCAACTTCGATGTAGATGTGGCAACAAAACTACATAAAGACACTAGTAATATGGGTTGGGAGCACTGCTCGTACAGTTGCAGGACGACAGCAATATGGTCATCGCCTACGCCAGCAGGACGTTTTCCAAGCAGAAGTTAACTACACTACGACGAAGAAAGAATGTCTTGCAATGGTATGGGCATCCTGAAGCTTCGCCCATATTTGTACGGGTGCCCATTCACCATTATGAGCGTTCATCACTCGCTCTTTTCGTTAGTTAACATGAGATAGATCTGGCCAGCTTGCTAGCTGGAATAATCGGCGCGAAGGGTTTGACTTCAATGTTGCCAAGTAGGGAAAACGACACATCAATGCCCACTGTCCTTTTTGGTCTCGGTGTCACGACGACCACACAGCCTCTTTAGTAACGGCGGACACTGCCGCCTTTTCTCAGCAGCAGCGGGACGACGCTTAACTGGTACCTTCCATAAATTACATAGAAGGACGAATGAATAGTGTGCTTAAGTTATTTTCGAAAAGGTAGGCGTGACGCCCTTTATAAGAAAGTTTCCACCCAGTGGCAGCAGCTACTTGCTCGTCTTTCCTTCTTCGCTTCGACATTATATATGGCAAGCTTGCCATTAAAAACCATCCGCTTATCGCTAGACAACATAGGAGCATTGGTGAAGATTAGGTAAAAAGGTACTCGCCAAAACTTGCCGCCAAAAGTTGCCGGGGTTGGCAAAACTTCCGTTCAGAAATATCTTGATTGCCAGCGTTCAAGCCACCATACAGCAAACCAGCCGGCCTGCTGCAGCCTGTGCGAGTGCCGACGGCACCATTCGCATGAACTGCCATGGATTTTTTTCATTACATTCCCAAAGTCTGCCACTGGAAACAAGTGGAGAATCGTTACCACTGATGACACAACCCGATACACGGAGACAGGGGCTCTGCTACGGGCAACGGCAGCTGAAGCGGCAGAAGTTTTCATCGCAGCCATCGTTTGAAGACACGGTGCTGCCACAATAGTTATCAAGGGCAAAGGTACTGTGTTCATAGCTGAGCTTTTGCACAGCATTTTCCATCTAAGTGGTACAGCCCACAGGAAGACAATGGCGTATCATACCCAACCAAATGGACACTCCGAATGTTTCATCAAGACCCTGGCTGACATGATAAGCATGTATGTAGATATATAACACAAGAACTGAGAGACATTTTGCCCTACGTCACGTTCGCGTACAACACGGATCGTCAGGAAACCTCTCAGAAGACACCCTTCAGTCTCGTTTACGAATGTGAAGTTACAACTTTAAACGCGATGTTGCCCCATGAAAATGATGTCAATGAGATGAACGCTGAAGAGTTTACCCAGCGAGCAGAAGAACTCAGACAACTGAAGAGGTTGCGAATCATCTAACAGTAAGATGTTTATGCCAAACAATACAGCTTCCAGCACAGAACCATCTCATACAACGTGGGTGAGAATCTGTGAGTCTGGGCACCTATTCCTTGGCGTGGGCTCTCCGAAAAGCTGTTGCGAAGATACGCCAGATTCTACGCTGTTCTGCGACGCATCAGTGACGTCAACAACGAGGTTGTTCGGGACTGCAATCACTGTTTCAAGTCCCGCAGAAATTCACCAGAATCTATCCACAATTTTCAAATAAAGCCCTACTTCCAGTCAATAACCGTGCAGTTTTGGTTTTACGATGCTTCCGGGGCGTTCACCCTCGGGACGATGTTTTAAAGAGTAAGAGTAAGATTGCTTTAGTTACAGTAGGGACATTGCAAAACTCACTGCAGAGACAAGAGCTAAAGGCAATTAGCCCGACAAAGGCCCCTGTCTCTCTGCAGTTCATACTAGGCTTCGTTATGGGCTGAGACAGAAACAGACAAAACTCAATAGATTGGTTTCATTGAAATTGTATAGAAGTTGCTTGCCAGATTACATACGTAATTCACGCAAAAACTAAGTTAAGATGTTTACATAGCACATTTGAAAAATTTAATGTCACTCATAAGGAGATTCATAGCCAAGTGAAATTGACAAAAGAATTGAAACACCGTGAAACACAAAGTACATACGGTCACACCAATAAATATCTGTAAATAATACAATAAAATTAGAAGTTATTGATTGATTTCAGGATTAGTCCAGGCATGAAACTCTACTCATTAGTTTTTGATAATGTGTACTAGCAGTTAGTAACAAGTTTTTCGATTGTTTCTTAAAGGCTGCTTTGCTAGCCTTAAAGTTCAGTTTATTTGCGAGGGTATTAATCACGCGAGATGCTTGGTACGCGATACTGTGTTTTTCATAATTGGTTCTTGTTCTAGGTGCTCGTTTTTTGCTGTTGTCGCAATTAGTAGTGTAACGTTTCGGTACAAGATTCCGCTCGTATGTCGTCCTTTTTAATTCGCTGCGGCAATTTCAACGCGAAATGTTTGATCAATAATGAAGCAGTTCGCAGGCCCCATATGTTACCTCTCTATTTTTTTAAACAACGCAGTATTTTTTTGTATGAGTCTAAGCTAAGGATTATTTGTTTTGTGATGTTTTTGACCAAACTAGCATATCATAGGTCCCTTTGGAGTGGAAAAGAACGTAACACAATTATTTTTAACCTTAGTGGAATCAAAAGCATTGTTCTAAAAAATCAACCGACCATTCGTGCCAGTGGGGTAATTAAGTGGTTGGCATAAGTGTTTATATTTAGTCCTTCCTGAAACCGCATGCAAAGATATTATGGTTCCCTAACACGCGCAATGCCATTTCCTTCAGACTTTACAGTTGTGTTGCTGATAAGTTTGTTTAAAGGCCGGAATATCATATAGTTTTTTTTTATTCAAGCGCGGTTCATTCTGCTTTAACCGAATCAAAAGATGACTTGGTTATGTACGCTTACTTCGAGTGATAATAAATTGTCTGATGTAAAGAGCACATTCGTATCATCAGCGTAGACAATAAGTTAAGAAAAAATAAGTATATTGATTTAATCATTTAGATAAGCAAAGAACAATTCTGGCCCCAGTATGGACTCGTGGGGCACTTCTTCGTTTTATGTGATTGTTGTAGATATTCTATTGTTGATTTGTACAAACTGGTAGTGATCTTCCAAGTAACTCTTCAACAATTGTAATGCTACAGCATGCACCTCATACCTTGGTTATTTATTAAACAATAGTCTGAATTGTATGAAGTCAAGCGCCTCCTGAAGATCGAGCAAAATCCCAAGCGTGTATTTTTTATTTGCATATTTTTCATGACCTTATCTTTAACATACAGCAACGCTTGTTCACTCTATATATTTTAAAAAACTATACTGACTTTTAATATTATTTGATGCTTAAGAAAAAAGGATGCTAGTCTATCCAAAATCACCCCATCAAAAATTTTCGACACTGTTGAAAGCACAAATATAGGGCAATGGTTCGCCAAAATATTTATATCAGCAACTTT